CCCTCCATCTTCCTCTTTTTTTCTTCAATTTAGGATTTACGTTTTACAAAAAAAACCAAGCATAATGAAAGGTGTCTTTTTAGCCAGAAAAAAGTATGAAAATTACTGTGTAAAATAACTTAAAATGGACAGAAGTGAGGAGAGAATATCGTCATACAGAAAAGAGAATCAGTTCATTCTTTGGACAACTTTTGAGTGAATGGATTGTAGAAACTAATTCAACTGCTTGAGCCTTGCATAAATGGCCTAGTTTAGTTTTCCTTTGATTTGAATTCACCGCGATGGACTGGGTTCCTTCCTCCTGAACACTGTTCAATGCTTAGAGGACTTCACTTCTTCTCAGTTAAGCGTACATAGAATACGTTTAGTGATAAGGAAGTACTATCTCTGGCTCTCCCATAAAAGCTCATATCTGCATAGGGGAAACAATGGCATATATGTTGTTTCTGAAATGGGCCAGAAATAGTGGTTTCTGATTGCAAAATGTAATTCACATTGAAACTAGCAGCCCATGCCATAAACTGAAATTAATTGTTTGCTGAGCCACTTACCTTTTTCTCCAGCTATTCCAAGGGCCTGAAAAAAAAAACAAAAGGAAATTAAAGATGCTAAAAATTAATTTTGTAAGAAGTTGATAATAGGGAAAAAAATCCAAGCTGTCTTTAGAACAGTAATATGAAAGGAAGAACCACCTGTTTTTCTCTATTTCCTATTTTTGGGCCCAAGTAATTTTTTTTAGCTTCAGGTTGTTGAGCATTAAAAATCTATCTTCAGAATATGTGCTTGAAGACAAAAAAAATTAGAAATGATGAAATTTCAACTTTTTTATCTTTTTATTTTTCTTGGAGGATGACAATACTTCCTCTACCCTAGGGGAGCGAGAAAGTAAAAAGAAACTTTTGATAGATTTCTTTAAGGATGAAATCTTATTTAGGATACCACATAGGTATCCCTTTATTTTTACTGAGAAATTAATCTTAAGAATGCCTTTGATCTAGGTTTGCTATTTTCGCCTCAGCATACCAAAAACTATAGTAAGCATTGAGAATGGTTCCAGGGTTTAAAACTTTTTTGTCATATGTTCTTCTAATTACGAGAGTGAGTTTGCTACTATTTTTATAGGAACTTGTCTCATTGGCCGGGCAAAAACAATTACTCTGAATCTGAAAAAATAACACCCATCAGTTGAATTTTTTATTCAAAAAACTCTTCTTAGATAGGTGATTATACCCAGCAAGTCAAAACTTACATTTCAGAGGTTTTCTTTCTAAATGAAGTAAGAGTTGAAGATTCTTCTTGATGAATTTTTCAAAAAAAATTCCACAGAACTTGCCTAACTTACAGACTCAAATTTACTTACTGACATAGAGGTGACAGATGATCTTGAAAAGATGCGCTGAGATTGTCTGAATTTCCTTTTTTCATTGACAGCTGAGTTGTTATTACTGGTTTTACCATAGGATAAGTACCTATCCCAACCTTTGATAACATTGCCGTAATCTTTTGTACTCTCCAAATACGATCCTTCTAGGGAATAGATATCTCGCTCAATATTTACCAGACTTTCCTGAAACATGCACATCAATAATCATGTTAAAGTCATACATCTACATCTATCTACCCATATCTACAGCTAGTTGTATTGGTAGCTGTTGCTTGGTAAAAAAAAGAGCATAAGAGTCGCAAGAGTATGAGATGTATTGAGAGTATTGAGCATTGAGATTGAGAGTATAGTATTGAGAGTATTTGAGTATGTAAGAGTATTACACCCAGTACACTTAGTATGAGATGAATTCCTGAGAGATAAGGAAGGTACTCAAAACTGAATAGATTTTCAGCCAGAAGACTAACTAAGTTCTGCGCCAAGGATCTTTAAAATGCTAGACTTGTCACTGAAAGCATTCTGAAACACGAAATTTATCATGAAAGCAGTCAAATCCTCCTCCCACTGTGTTTGAGTGAGGTTTTACCAGCTAGTTACGTAGGTCAGTCAATTTGTTTTGGGGCAAAGAATTTTTTACCCCCAGACCCCAGACCTATCCATCGGCAGAATTATACGGCTTGTTGAATGTTAAAGGTTTCCATGAACTTTACCAAAGGGAGCTGAAAAGATTAACACCACTTTTCCAATCCGAGCCACTCCCTCAAAGAGAAATAAAATATGAGATCAGAAATCCGAGCCAAGTAATAGTACAGCAACCAAGACTCGAAGTCTCAAAAAGAAATGTGGGGTATACAGTCAAGTCAATCATCTAAGTTACCAAATCAATCCTAGGGTAAGCTCACCTATATCAAATAATAAATTGTATTTTATTTTACAAAACAGTTGGATTGCGCTTGGCAGGGGGGGGGCTGGAGCGTCCCAGTGTTGCTAGATTTTGGAAAAGTGATTCTGGCTAAGTCTCAATTTGCACAATCATGGCGACACTGAGATTCTCTTGGTTCCTCCTTGCAATGTGCAATCCAAGTGTTTTGTACTCATTTCTGTAACATATATTGTTGTGTTTGGTATGTGAAAGCAGAGGAAATAGGAACGAGGGCCTTGCCAACCTGTGAATCTATTTAGCTAATGTAATTAGATAATGTAATTAGTTGTTCTTTTTTATATAAAAAAAAAAAAAAAAAAAAAAAAAAAAAAAAAAAAAAAAAAAAAAAAAAAAAAAAAAAAAAAAAAAAAAAAAAAAAAAAAAAAAAAAATGGATACAAATTTCTATATTGTATTCAACATTATGTTTGCTTAAAATTTAAACTTAAATTAAATGTATGTACCTATTTATAACAGCCTCATCCACACGAGTCATCTCATGGATGAGGGAAGTTGATTATGTATTTTTATTGTATTGTGTAAATTGAAGAATTAATAAATTGAATTGAATTGAATTGAATTTTAACTTTTTGTGAAGAAAATTGTCGAGAGCACCATTTCATGTGAAGAAACCTATGAAACAAGTTGGTATTTTTGAAGGAGACCAGCAAGCGCGTAACATGGAGTGCATCAAGTCCTCGGGCGTTCTGTTTCATCTTTTTTGAAGAAATCTGTTAGCCTGCTCTTCATGGCACCAAGCCCTCCCGTGAAGATAGAAATTTTTGAATCTCCGTTATGTGCTATATTTTAAAGTTAATAATTGCAGTAATATTACAATTTCATTAAAAGTACTTACAGAAAGCATGGACTTCCTTCGAATGAGGTCCGATAATTCTTCTTTTGCTTTCTCCATTTGGCAATCAGATGTAAGATGATGCTGAATTGATAGAATTGATTACAAATAAATCAGTTCATAGTGTTGAAGTTACATATTGTTCTCCCATTCACCAAAATCTCAAAAATTTCAAAGATTTAGACAGGAGTTGATACTTGTGAACTTGGTGTTGGGTATCTCTTGGATATTCACAAAAAAAAAAAATATTATACTATGCTAAAAACGAACCAGTCTGAACCGATACTGTAAGAATAGTAAGATTTTTAATTCCAGAGAAGAAAGGACGCAGAAAAATTACGACAGCCTCAGAGCAAAATTGTAATGTAATGGGTTTTTTAAAAGAAAACATCAACATAGATGAACATAAACATAACCTTTCATTTCTATTCTAATTCCTGAGTGTTGACAGCGTTCTGAAAGATCCGGAAAAGATCCGGAACCTTCATAAACCAGCGGCATTCGTTCCGGGATCAATGTTTACCGTTAATTAATTAAGTCCTCTACATATTTTTAAGAGATAAAGAAATTGGGTTTTTTTAGCCAAAACACAGATAGGATAGGGCGAGTAGAGGTCCGTCTAGGTCCGATGATCGCAGGGAGAGAGGTGGAAAATGGATAAGGGATGCCGGAAGGGGGCGAGAGTGGATAGGGCGATAGGTGGATCGAGTGGAGAGGGGAAGGGGAGGGGGAGGAAAGATGTGGCTAAGGGAGTGAGGGTGAGGGAGGCTGAAGGAGGACTTGTTCATATGATTTGAAAGATAATGAATACCTATGGACACCTTGGACACCTAGGAGCATCCACGAAACATTTCGAGAAAATCCAAGAGGAATATCTCAAAGAATGTTGCCGCATCCATCAACCATGCGAGTCGAGTCGCGTAAATTCGGAGCAGGCTCTGTCGTTTCATCAATTTCATTTGATCATCCGATTTGACGGATTATATTTATTGAGGATGGACATCGAAGACCATCCTCTGAAAATTTCGAGAAAATCCAAAGGGGAAATTTCATGCAATGTTGTCGAATGGCTCCATCATCCTTAATTCGCGAGTCGCGTAAATTCAGGGCAGGCTCTGAGGTTTTCAAATTTTCATTTGTGCATCCCCTTTGACACATAAGATATTGAGTATATGCACACCCGGAATCATCCTTGGAACATTTCGGGAAAATTCAAGAGGAAAATCTCAAAGAATGTTGCCGCATCCATCAACCATACGAGTCGAGTCGCGTAAATTCGGAGCAGGCTCTGTCGTTTCACCAATTTCATTTGTTCATCCGATTTGACGGATTATATTTATTGAGGATGGACATCGAAGACCATCCTCTGAAAATTTCGAGAAAATCCAAAGGGGAAATTTCATGCAATGTTGTCGAATGGCTCCATCATCCTTAATTCGCGAGTCGCGTAAATTCAGGGCAGGCTCTGAGGTTTTCAAACTGCGGAATTTTCTTCGCATACAAAAGAAAAATCACGACAATTTTAAAGAATTGCTGTTGAATACCTAGTTCTCCGTTCTAAAATCAAGTATGATAGGAAGTCTGCGACGTCACAAACCGAGTTATGTGATTGCCGACCTACACTGTCGATATAGGACGCGCTCATTTTTTGGTTATTTCTCAAAATCCAGTTAGCACCGTTTAGCGGAAAACCGTTTAGCAGGAATTAGCCCAAGAGAAAATAAGATTCGAAGACATTTACAATACCGCATTAGATATGCATGGTTTCGCACTTAAGCCTCAATGGCGTGGCGTGCTTTGCGATGTATAGATTGGAATGCCATTTAAACCTACGGAAAAGGATCGATAAACAGGGTGTTCGCAGCGGACACCTTAATATAATCGATTCTTTACCATAGGTTCAGATGGCAGAAAAATCGATACATCGCAATTCACGCCACGCCACTACAAGGCATAGAGTACATAGAGTCGTAATGTAAGTGGAAAGCTGGCGCCACTTTTAAGCATTTTCCATGTCCCGAATTCCGAGACTCCTGTGTGACGCCGGGTCACTTTTTCGATACATAACCGATTGTTTGCGATACACGGGTACCCGGCCATCCGATGACATCAACAACAACAGAGGAGATAGGAATTACCACGTATTTCACACCGCCATTTTGGATCGAAAATGTATCGAAAAAGCGACCCAACCTCGGGGCACACCAAGCTCGGAATTCGTCGAGCAGAACATGGCGCCAGCTCTCCCATTTACATTACGACTCTATGTACTCTATGTTTCCGATCGTGAGCCCGGGAAAGAACGGCCGTAAACGGGGAACAGGGCTCATCTTGTTGTGGTCGATACAATGTTTTGTCGCCTCTCTCTCTCTAACACTCATTGATCAGATGCGGCATTCCGCGGCTCGTCAAAGGGACACCTGGCGCACACACACACTCGCAAAAATACAGGCTGGGCCTCGTAATTTGGTCCGCGGTGGTAGTGCGCTGGGGAATTCCGTTGCCGGCAAAAGCACCCAAGTGCTTTCCGAGCGTGAGCTCCGGAAAGAGCGGCTGTAAACAGGGAGCAGGGTTCATCTTGTTGTGGTCGATACGCTGTTTTGTCGTCTCTCTCTCTCTCGCACTCATTGGGCAGATGCGGCACGTCAAAGGAGACCACTCGGCTTTGCCAAGCCGCCCTTGTATCGTCCATCTCTCTCGCACTCATTGCTCAGATACACCATTCCTCGGCTCGTCAAAGGGACACCTGGCACACAAACACACTCGCAAAAATACAGGCTGCGCCTTGTAATTTGGCCGGCGGTGGTAGTGCGCTGGGGATTTCCGTTGCCGGCAAAAGCACCCAAGTGCTTTCCGAGCGTGAGCCCGGGAAGGAACGGCCGTAAACGGGAAGCAGGGCTCATCTTGGATTGGTCGATACGCTGTTTAGTCGTCTCTCTCTCTCGCACTCAGTGGGCAGATGCGGCACGTCAAAGGAGACCACTCGGCTTTGCCAAGCCGCCCTTGTATCGTCCATCTCTCTCGCACTCATTGATCAGATAAAACATTCCGCGGCTGGTCAAAGGGATACCCGGCGCACACACACACTCGCAAAAATACAGGCTGGGCCTCGTAATTTGGTCCGCGGTGGTAGTGCGCTGGGGATTTCCGTTGCCAACAAAAGCACCCAAGTGCTTTCCGAGCGTGAGCCCTGGAAAGAACGGCCGTAAACGGGAAGCAGGGCTCATCTTGTTGTGGTCGAACCGCTGTTTTGTCGTCTCTCTCTCTCTCGCACTCATTGGGCAGATGCGGCACGTGAAAGGGGACCACTCGGCTTTGTCAAGCCGCCCTTGTATCGTCCATCTCTCTCGCACTCATTAATCAGATCCATTATTCCGCGGCTCGTCAAAGGGACACCTGGCGCACACACACACTCGAAGAATACTGGCTGGGCCTCGTAATTTGGCCGGCGGTGGTAGTGCGATTGGGAATTCCGTTGCCGGCAAAAGCACCCAAGTGCTTTCCGAGCGTGGGCCCGGGAAAGAACGGCCGTAAACGGGAAGCAGGGCTCATCTTGGATCGGTCGATACGCTGTTTTGTCGTCTATCTCTCTTGCACTCATTGGGCAGATGCGGCACGTCAAAGGAGACCACTCGGCTTTGCCAAGCCGCCCTTGTATCGTCCATCTCTCTCGCACTCATTGATCAGATACAACATTCCGCGGCTCGTCAAAGGGACACCTGGCGCACACAAACACTCGCAAAAATACAGGCTGCGCCTCGTAATTTAGCCGGCGGTGGTAGTGCGCTGGGGATTTCCGTTGCCGGCGAAAGCACCAAAGTGCTTCCGAGCGTGAGCCCGGGAAAGAACGGCCGTAAACGGGGAGCAGGGCTCATCTTGGATTGTTCGGTACGCTGTTTTGTGTTCTCTCTCTCTCTCGCACTCATTGGGCAGATGCGGCACGTCAAAGGAGACCACTCGGCTTTTCCAAGCCGCCCTTGTATCGTCCATCTCTCTCGCACTCATTGATCAGATAAAACATTCCGCGGCTCGTCAAAGGGATACCCGGCGCACACATACACTCGCAAAAATACTGGCTGGGCCTCGTAATTTGGTCCGCGGTGGTAGTGCGCGGGGGATTTCCGTTGCCGGCAAAAGCACCCAAGTGCTTTCAAAGCGTGAGCCCGGGAAAGAACGGCCGTGAACGGGGAGCAGGGCTCATCTTGGATTGGTCGACACGCTGTTTTGTCGTCTCTCTCTCTCGCACACATTGGGCAGATGCGGCACGTCAAAGGAGACCACTCTGCTTTTCCAAGCCGCCCTTGTATCGTCCATCTCTCTCGCACTCATTGATCAGATGCAACATTCCGCGGCTCGTCAAAGGGACACCTGGCGCACAAACACACTCGCAAAAATACAGGCTGGGCCTGGTAATTTGGTCCACGGTGGTAGTGCGCTGGGGAATTCCGTTGCCGGCAAAAGCACCCAAGTGCTTTCCGAGCGTGAGCCCGGGAAGGAACGGCCGTAAACGGGAAGCAGGGCTCATCTTGGATTGGTCGATACGCTGTTTTGTCGTCTCTCTCTCTCGCACTCATTGGGCAGATGCGGCACGTCAAAGGAGACCACTCGGCTTTGCCAAGCCGCCCTTGTATCGTCCATCTTTCTCGCACTCATTGATCAGATACAACATTCCGCGGCTCGTCAAAGGGACACCCGGCGCACACACACACTCGCAAAAAAACAGGCTGCGCCTCGTAATTTGGCCGGCGGTGGTAGTGCGCTGGGGATTTCCGTTGCCGGTAAAAGCACCCAAGTGCTTTCCGAGCGTGAGCCCTGGAAAGAACGGCTGTAAACGGGAAGCAGGGCTCATCTTGGATTGGTCGATACGCTGTTTTGTCGTCTCTCTCTCTCGCACTCATTGGGCAGATGCGGCACGTCAAAGGAGACCACTCGACTTTGCCAACCCGCCCTTGTATCGTCCATCTCTCTCGCACTCATTGATCAGATGCAACATTCCGCGGCTCGTCAAAGGGACACCCGGCGCACACACTCACTCGCAAAAATACAGGCTGCGCCTCGTAATTTGGCCGGCGGTGGTAGTGCGCTGGGGATTTCCGTTGCCGGCAAAAGCACCCAAGTGCTTTCCGAGCGTGAGCCCGGGAAGGAACGGCCGTAAACGGGGAGCCGGGCTCATCTTGGATTGGTCGATACGCTGTTTAGTCGTCTCTCTCTCTCGCACTCAGTGGGCAGATGCGGCACGTCAAAGGAGACCACTCGGCTTTGCCATGCCGTCCTTGTATCGTCCATCTCTCTCGCACTCATTGATCAGATGCAACATTCCGCGGCTCGTCAAAGGTACACCTGGCGCACACACACACTCGCAAAAATACAGGCTGGGCCTGGTAATTTGGTCCACGGTGGTAG